ATATGAGACTGATCAACCGATACTCTCGCGTAAGACGGCTGATTTCAAAGGCAAAGGCAAAGCCTAAATCAGTGCAGATTTCAAGTCAAACCGTGGGGTTAGTACTTGTTTACTAATAATGTACTTAGCTTGGAACTGGGTTCGAGTAGTTTATAGAAACCAAGGGCTATTCCATTGCAATACAGATTTCTTTTTACTACTCTCCTGCTTGCACGACAGATAAACGTGAACTAATAAAAAATATGCCCAAATTGAACCGCTATAAAAGCTGTAATTTCTTCTACTTTCGCTCACTTAGCTAATTCAACCCGATCCGGCCAAGGGCGGTAATTGTTTCAAAGCATGAGGAACCAAATGGTGCAAGAGACCCATGATTTCTCCAAGCTTCTCTGCTCCCCCGTGACATCTTTGAAATACAACGTAACCGGACATTGTCTGCAATCCCCACAAACAGACGTATCCGTCTCCTTAAACCTGATGAGAGGGGGCTTTATGTGCGCATTCTTACCGAATTGTGCCTAGATTAGACTGGCGACGGATATATCTCTCTGCCTCACCTGTGCTTTGTGAGCACCAGCTGTCCTTATAATCTGGCTGCCTTAATGGAGCAAGTGCCTACGCGATCATGATTGATCGCTCTCTATATTATATCTATATCTATATATGTCCTTAGTAACCATGTAATACCAGCCATATCAAAACTCCTTAAGCTGTCCCACACACTGCAAGATAAATCATTTCCAACATCACCATCTATCGTATGGTAAGTGTCTAGCTTGGCCCTCAACCGATTATGGGCTCAATCATGATCTCGGAAATCATGCGGGTTCTGCGAGAGAATGGTCTGATAGAGCAGACATGGCTAACGAACAATCGAGAAGTTATCGAGCCTGCCTACTTCTCGATCATTATTCAATATAGTCGCTTATGCTCGAGTCTAGCTGACCATGATACACCTTCCTTGACTACCATTAGAGTATGCTAACCGTTCACCAAAAACCCCTACAACCCACCAACTAAAAACCCCAGTTTCGACAATCATCACAACTACCCTTGCAAGCATGAACGCGTTCAATTCTAACTGCTTCTGTATTACTGGTCTGCTGGCCTTTAGTTGACGGCACAGATCCTGGTAGTCACCCTTTGGACGCAGTATGCTTGAACAACGGATTTGGAAGTGGGCAAGAAATGTGGGTATTGTGGTATATTTTGTGGCGCACGGGCCAATGTTGCGGCTAGCCAACTCAGCCCACGAATGGTTGCTGGCTTGTCACCCCGTGGGCTCCTCCTGAGTGCCCGACTGCTCAATGTAACTTTATTGCCCATCATAACAGTGTGGCTCAACGTCCCGTTGTGGCTCTAGACATCTTTACGGCTTAGTGTCATTTCAGATCCACCAGTTCCAATCCATTACTTGATGCCGGGTCGGCGATACAAGGATAAATAAATTATATTGAATTACTTGATGCAATCTGGCCATATATTTCATTTCGTCAGGCGATTATTCTTTTGAATAGAAATGTTTTTAAAAACAGATGGAAGAGAACAGACACCAAGCCTCAAATTAGTGTTGAGCCACAAAGCAATGCTGAGGTATATCATGCCTTACTATAGAGAGCCACAATGTTACCTTGAGCTACAGAATTGTGTTGAGCCGTTCGGCACTCTAGAGCACTGCCCACAGTTGCAAGCCAGGGAGAATTCGCAGTTTGAAAAGGCTAGCCGCAATGTTGTCACGGGTATCATACAATGATCCAAGTTCTAATTTGCCATACCCAACATACTTCCGCCACATTGAAGTAACAATTTCAGCACATATATCTGAAGGCTTCTGAGTGATCGGCCGCGATCTCTATAATTTGGGGGTGCTTTCCGGGCATTTGGATATATCAGTATCGATTGAGCGGCAGACGGACATATGCTCCAACCGCGACTATACCTACATGTGATTGGATATCTTCACCACTACTACCCTTACCCTAGGAGTTATATGACCGCTCTGTGCACGATTAGTGGAGATCCACATGTAGTATACACTCACATTATCGTCGAAATAGTTGTATCCAAGCTCGGAATCACAATCAAAAAGACAAGAAATGTAATGCGGAATCAGTGGGATGAAGAGTATGATAGTTGGAGAAAGATATGGCAGATGAGGGGTTATAAGGAAACTGGTGAGGTAATTTACCCTTGTGCTGATACAATTGTGGTAGTCACAGAGGTCTTGTAGTAGAAGTATTGCTTTTATCCAGATAATTCGTCGCTTATAAGATTCTCCGCGCGGTTTGATTACTTAAGGGACTGTATAGCGCAGTGAGGAAACATAGTGTTTAATGCTTGATTGAGCCATTTAGTCTTGGGGTTGAAAAATATCAATATCAAGACCGGCGATATTTATTATTCCCTCTATGGTAGCGGTGGATGCATACCTTTATGAAGCAGCGAAAATACCACACTTTTGGTCCATCGGCGGGGGATATTCCAAAATAGGTGCTCATTCTGGGCTCGGATATGAGAGAATTCAACTATGATACGAGTACGATCAATTAGTATGATATATTCGTCATGTGAGTTCCACCCTTAGAGCAGCATGATAGCGACGACAAAGTCGCCATCGTCCTTGTCATCGCCGTACTTGAGACTCCAATCAACGACTAGACACCCCCCGCTCCCGCTGCCTCAGAACAATAACGGTTGGTTTTTTTTTTTTCTTTTCTGCTTCTTATCTTCTGATATGTCTGTTGTGCTATCATACTTCTTTTTTTTTATTCATTGTATTCCATTAAAACAATCGTTGGAACGTTGGAACGGGCAACTGGCAGTTGGTGTTGAGGATGCTCTGGTTGCAACATGCTAGTTAATCTACTCCACCTGACGAATAAATTAATCAGCGGCACTTTTAGTGAGAAAAAATGCAAGCACGAAATTTCCGCCAACCTCACTAAATACCCGATCAATAACTGCTTGCGTGTCACCGCCCTTCCTCAAACCTTTCCACCCCTCTCCCACACCCGCTCAACACTCCCCATCTGACACCCCTTCTCCCCACTTAAAGCATGGCTGAAAAGATATTTTATACAATCCTCCCAGCGATTAAGTCTGGAAAACCCCAGTTGCTCGAGTTTGACAACCTTGATCCTGAGGTCTCTACTCAGGTTCTCGATAGCCTCTTTGACTACAGCAACCGTCACTTGGAGGAACGTAGTTTTCGGTAATACAACCTCACATAAAATGACTTTGAGCTAATGCAAATTAGAGTTAATTTCTCCGCACCCGACCGCTTTCTAATGGTCGTGATGCCCAGCTATATCCATGAAGCCGCGCATTCATGGCTCGTGAGACAGTTCAGCTTGTGGACGGTTAGCGGACTGATCAATGATGACGCCGCAGACGCGATTACCATGCCGGGATCCCCACGTAAGTAAATTCAGTCTCACCCTACTATAAGGGACCCCAAGGGTTCCAGTCTTTTTTCTTTTCTTTCTTTTTCAACGAGACTGCGGAAAAAATGCCTCATCGCAAGAACCAACTATCGGCCATGAGGGATGTCAACTCCAAGGGAGTTGATTCGTGATAGCGAGGTTTTCTGTATAAAGAGTTGCATTATAGCGGGATGCGGCTGTAATGTTCTTTTCCGAAATGATGGTAGTAACTAAATACAGGAGTCGACAATTTTACGGGAACTTATATCAACAGTGTCAAGGAACCCGACTTTGCTTTTGTTCCTCTAGGTCCTCACAATATGCGGAGAGATTTTCCATCTGTGGTCATGGAGTCTGGCTGGGCAAGCCCTGCGACCGAGCTGGCCAATGATCGTCGTATCTGGCATGAAGGTTCCGGGGGGCGTGTCATGGTAGTGATACTAGTTAAGCTCTATAAGCCCACGACTGGGAACCGAGTCCGAACAACCCTTGAAATTTCACATACCTCACCCGGCGCCCTGGTCACCATTACCAAACGGGTACTTCTCCCCTAGCTTTTCTCTTACCCTCTTACCGTTAAGAGTGATAAATTACTGAAAAACTACAGGATGTGTTTCCAATTCCGGATCTTCTACAACCAGATCCAACGCTTACAATTCTGGAGTTGTTCGGAGGACAGGCCCCACCAAACCACGAACCACAAACCATCCTTCCATTAGACCTTGGCAGGTTGCGTCGCGTAGTGGAAGCCAACCTTATCAGCGATGGGTACGAGCCAGCCTGATGTTCGTGCAAGAACGGTACCTAGGAACGGGACTCAACTAGAGCTGCTAGCGAACAGAATAATTCATGGTTTTCAGTCGGGCACTAGCTTTTCGTTTTTTTCCTTTTTCTTCCTTCGCTTTTCTTTTCAATCAAGACTTTGTCCTGGTTTCCTTTTTTGCCTGCCCTTCTAATTAGTATCGCATCATAGTATTAGCTTTTGGCAAGCGATACTGTGGTATGCGGCTCGTCCCACACGAGGGCTGGTTAAGTGGGGCTTAGTGAGGAGGGGTGACGCCAAATGAGTACAGTTTAACAATATCTTCAGCCTCCCATAAGCTTGCCGTCTACGACCATATGTTCACCATCGTTGATTTCAAACTCGGGCAATCGCGGGAGCTCGTCGCCGGCAATGCACCATCAATGCGCCGCAAGCCTGGAATACAAGGGAAGCGCTCGGTCCCATAGGCAAAGAGAACGGGACTGGTTAGATCCGGCAGCGGTCTACGTGAAGTCAAGGGAGGCGCTCGGCCGCTGCACAGATACAGGAGGAGATAACCCACAGGTGGATCATCTTCATTCCCATTTAGCCAATTCGCTTGATGCACGTTTGACCCCACCGGGGAATGTCACTGTTCTTTCGGCTTCCACGCCCACCCCGTTAACCGAACTTACAGTAACTATATCGGGAATCCCGAAGGAGTCGATTACGGCTTCCGAACGCTCTGTCGAGGAGCTTCAAGAGCTGCAAAAGAATAAACTATCCGCCTGGAGGCCTAGATAGGAACGGCTGATTTTTGCCGGGCACGGGAACTCATGTATCGGGATGAGATCAAGGCGAAACGTACCAAGAAGATCAAATCAAAATCGTATCGCAGAATACTCAATAAAAGGAGGGGGAAACTGAAATATGCGATTGAAGAGGTTTTGGCTCATGAGCGCGGCGGCATGCCGAATGAAGAAGATGTTGTCGAGAGGGAGAGGAAAAGGGTGGAAGAGAAAGACTTGAAGACATGGGCGGGGTAAGTGGTTAAAGGAATAACGAACTGGGGGAGGACTATGTGAGATGAGGAAACCGAGAACGGTTCAGTAGATATGGCACAGGGTTCAAAAGAGCTTCGAATGAGCTTCAAATGGGGATTGCTGGGAACGCAGTTCCCCAGGAGGACGAGGAGTTTGAATGTGGTGGTCACAGGGAGGAGGATGACGTGTTTAACGGAGATTAGAAGTTAGCAAGGCAGCGGTTACTTGCAGATCTAGAAAAAACTGGAGAAGGGAAGTGATTCGGCCAATGGTCAACACAACAAGGGCAAGTTGGCAGACCTTAAGTTAATGCGAAATGACGAAGCTTAAAAGAGGAGGGGAAGGATGATCTCCAGCTCTGGAGAAAAGCAGAAATCAGCAGCCAGGAAGCCGAAGCCAAAAAGGTTTGAGTTCGGGATTCGGGAAGGCTGAATGCGCGACGATGGGGATGGCAAGGGTGGTGCGGAGGAAGCCGTAGTTACAATAGCCAACAAGACGCCTTCCAATACACCCAAGAATCCTTTCTCGCTATGTGGAGGATCGCCGCTACAGCTTTCTAGCCAGAAAGCCAAGACCAGCGAAAGGGGCAGTACTTTATCACAGCCTGTACCAGAAGGAGGGGAGGGGAAGGTGACCCCAGAGCCCAACCCATGGCTCGCTCAAGGCTCCAGTTCCATCCTCGTTATACCAACAGCTCAGGCTTTGGTATCTGACAGGCAAGAATCCAAGAATGCAAAGGTCTACTCCTAGCTCACCAAGGATCAATAACCATCAGCCGAAGACTGAATTGGCCCCAAAGCGGATATAGAGGTTCATGTGAATGCCACACTTAAACTTGCCTCAACAAAGTGCGGGGCCAACGGCGATGGTGGTGGCAAGGAGACGAATGAGGGTGCCAAAGGTTCCATCAATATGATGCCAATCAATGCAATGAAGGGTGTGAATATTCATCAGCGGGGACTTCTGAAACGAACTTTGCAGGGGACAACGTTGTCGCATAGTTAAAGGCGCAGAAGCAGCGAAATATCGACGAGGTGGGCGACTAAGTAATCGACACTAGTATTCTGGGATGGGGTAGCAATGCCGGAGACGGGCTCACGGAACGGAACGGAAAGAAGGACATTCGGTTTTTAAGATGATCACGGATTAAATAGAACCATGAGGAACATGTAAAGGTTATCATCAAGGAAGGAGACGCTTGTGAAAAAGGTATGAAACTTCCAAATTGACTATATTCCCAATAATGCTAACGCACTCCTTCAAGACGTCAAAAATATCATGCATCTGCACTTCCTTTCCTCTTCGAATATCAGCAACAATACGAACGCGGCCTGCGTATCCACAGTGGGCCGGGGCGGTCCGAGACAACGTTTCGGGATTCTATAGTGCCGAGGGTTACGGTCGAGCGGGGTACTTCTATCAAGCCTATATTTGTTCCGTTCAAGTGATGGAGCTTTGCCTGTTGATGGGTGGGTTTGTTGCATGATAATTCTGATATTGGGTTGTGGATGGCCTAAAAGTATTCGACTTTGTGCAAGTATTTCAGGTACTCTCAATCTTCCCATATCCATAAAAATCGAGTGTGACGGGTATTAAATTGCCCCCAGCTCGTCGTCATGATGTTCCGGGAATCTACTAGCTGCTTATCTTAAAGTCATCCTACCCTTCCATGTGCACATCACCCTATAACGACACCCTGCCCCGCCGGACCAACGGCGTCTTCGTAGACACCCCCTCTCCTCAGGATACGGCCCCGATTGATACGCCTTTTTAAATGCCCCAGAACCAATCTCACAACACCCCACTCAGCCAGCTCCATTGACCAAACCGAAATCTCACTTCGTAAACTTAACCTCCACATGGTAAGATCCCACGGCTCCTCCTCTCTCCTCAACCTCTTGAATCCAATCTGCCTCTCCTTTATCTAACGCTGTGCTCTCCATGGTTTGCCAACACCAGCCACCTCTTCCGCACCAAGCCTTGCAATGGGTCGGGCCTTCGTTGGGCTAGCCCGGGCTATTCGTTGGGCTGGGTCGGGCTCATTGGGCTGGGCTCACTCATGGGCTTCCTTGGGCTGGGCTGGGCTGAGGGGGGGACAAGCCCGGGCGGCCCGGTGGGCCTGGCGGGCCTGGCGGGCCTGGCCAAGGATTAGCTTTATTTTTAAGGTTTGTATGGTGTCTTGCAATCCGTATCACTGGGGAAACGATTGTCCGAGCACATGGCTTTCCGGAAGTGCGTTACTGCAAGCGGTAAGATCCAACCCAACCATCTTTATATCTAGAATGTATCTCCTCCTGAATCTCAACTTAATTGTCTTCCTGATTTTCCTTTTTCAATTGCTAATTTCCTTCCAGTTGGTGGCAGGAGAATCGTCAACAAAACGAATACCCAACACTTGCGGCATGGGCAAATACTCTCCTATCAATTCCTGCCATGTCTTCCGAACCTGAACGCGTATTCTCAGGAGGCAAGAGGACTATTTCTGACTCCTGTCACTCTCTCAATGCTGAAACAATTGAGTCAACCGAGTGCCTCCGAAGTTGGCAGTCCATATAAAATTCGCTCTTTCTATTGAAAATAATCACTACTATTTCTCACTGTGTTGCGTTCATCTCCTATTTCAAGCACCATCTGTTCTCATTGGCAATTCTGTATTTTAATCTAGTATTAATAGATCTACATTCATCTCTTTTATGGCTGTTTACCTGTGCGGGGGCCCGATGGGCTCGTTGGGTTAGCCCGGGCTATACTTCCTTGGGCCGGGCCGGGTCGGCCCTTTTTTCTACACATACGTTCCTACGGTGTGAGCCTCGCAAGGGCGGTCGCAAGATTACCGAGCGCGGAGTCCGTTGTGGAACTCTGCCCAAGCAAGGAGGTTATCTCTTTAGCAGGTGCGCACGTGCGACAGACCCCATGCTCACAGGGTGCAGTCTTGGCTGCATTAATGCTACAATCGAACAACTCCCTCAAAAATTCGGGATCTAACGCAATCGATTTGAAGTTGTCACATGACTAGAAGTCATAGGACATGTCCCACCTCCGAGCTCATTCCTAAGAGCCGCCATGGAATATGTCACGCCCGCGGGGTGGCCTTTATTGTCCACGATCTCCAGGTTCTGGGTGAGCTTTTCACGATAAATATTCTTTGTTAGGGTATTCTGTGGATCGTACCGAGGGGGACACATGGTTGGAATAAGTACACTACTGTACAGGGGCTGGGGGAGATACTTGAAGCTACACAGAGATAGGGGGATGTTCTTGTTATAAGAAGTGTTTATGTTCCTGGGTTAGGATGGAGCGAGGTTTGGGCTTGGAGAAGGTTGGGAATTATTTCTTCACAGTGAGGAGGGGGCTGGGTGAGGGGGTAGGTGGGAATTGATACTTCTTTTACTCTCCTCCTAGCAGGTTTTTATAGCGCAGCATATGAATGTAGTTTTGGTAGAGATTTCTGGGGGAGGTCTTTACTCTTGCTTTTAACTGGATATTACTTCTAGTTATGCTGTTCCGAGAGTTTGTAAAGTGAACAACATAATTTTACCCTCCATTTTTCCTGCCCCATTGTCATATACCACTGCTCGACCCCAACTAGTGCCTCCATTGAGTGATGTTTTGTGATATAATCTCCACAACCAGATAGCCACAATTGCAGTGCCCTCTTCCAGGGGGAGACTAAGCTGTGGTCGGGGGGTCATAAATTGCTCTCCTGGGCCAGCCACGCCAAGTGCTGGTGGACTGAATATTTTGGGGATGCGGTAGAACTGTGATTTAAAGGTGTCCGTCGGAATGAAAACAACAGGGAAATTGGTCCTGATAGAGTGGTCACCGTGAATATGTATCATAAGCTCAATCATATCTCAATAAGCCATCAACAGGAGCAGATATGTGCGTGAAGCCTGAGTCCCATCATATCAGGAAATGGAAGTTCATTCATCCGAACTAGGTAGAAAACCAACGGATAGCTCCCTGCGGAATTGTGGTGCGTGTGTTGCGTGTGTCAGCAGGAGGTTTTAGTCGGCCGCCATCTAATTCCTGCGATATCTTGTAGTTTTTGGATCTCGAAGGATTGGGGAATGGGGCTGAAGACTGGAGCGTTTCCGGCGATGATGCTAATCTGCTAAAAGAGCCTTTGGCGAGTGACTCGTGGAGGGTGTTTGGTGAGGTGATATATGCCAAAAAAGTGATCACCCCTAAAGTAGAGGGAGGGGATGGTAACTTCCGTGATCGATCCAGGCACCTTTTGTGCGTGCATGGGAATTCTTTCTTACTCGTGTCAAGGTTGTGGCTGGCAGCCACAACCCCAGGCCACCCGCCCACTCGCAACCCGGGGCACACTAGAGAATGCCTGCCAGCTCAACATGACTTGCCAACTCAACATGGCTTGGTGCTCAACACAACTTTTTGTGGTCCAACGTGACTTTTCTGCTGCTCAATATAACTTTTTCGTAACTCAAGATAACATTTTTGTGCCTCAACCTTGTAGGCATTTTAACATTTTGCCGCTCGATTTACTTTTGCATTTTAAAGAAACTGTATAACCCTCTATCAATTTACAGATCCAATTAGTCTACAGTGTTGCTACGGGGCCGGCTTTCTTTACTGTTGATTGTTTAGTATTTATTGTTCATGTTAGAGCATGGCGCAGGCATGTTTGAAGTACAGGACATAAGGTTTAGTTAGTTCATTACTGGTATTAGTTCTTGTTTGCGTTAGCACTGTGCCGGTTGGAACTTGTTGTATGCCAGTGTTGGCGGTACAAGTATACTATCATTGCCTCGCTCCTCGCGGACCGATTTCTGTGCTCCTATTCTATTATTACGCTTAGTTACATTATTATGGTAGCAATGATCAGATTGTAGGGTTCAACCAGTTGAACCTTGTTCTGGTGGGTTGGGGTCGGGGCCCTCTGGGTTCGGTGTGGTGACCATTTCCCACTGCTTATGATGTATGATATTTCTCCGTCGGTTTCAGAGACCACCAGGAGCCTAACGAGTTTTACCTCTCCCTGCGAGTTCTCAGGCCACCATTAATAATCGGCCACCAAGTATCCACGGGATTCCCAAAGTCCACACTCGATGGCCGGGGTTGGCCAATCGGTTTTACAAGGGCGAGGAAACCAAAGCTTAGGTGCACAATCAGCCTGTTCCCGGCCCCCGACTCCTTGATAAATGGTAGCACCCATCAGACCAGGAGCGGACTCCAGCCCCATTCCTGCTGCCTTCTTAACGAAGTATGCAAACTCCTGGCTAGCTACCTTGTGAACTAGCCCAGGGGTGATTTTGACGATTAATGTCTCTTCATCTTGGAGGTAGGGAAAGCAGAGTCCTTTGATGCGGGTGTTGCCAATACGATCGATAGTCACAAGCACGCTTTGTGTAATCAAGGAAAAACATCGCACACTATCCAGAATCCAAGTTACCAGAAAATAGTTCGTCGGCTTGAGACTCAATCGCACTTATGAATGAGCACGTATCGCGATATTTCTGGTGCCCCACCCCTTCTAACCCACGGCTAAGAAAATAGTGCATGTTGTGTGGTCCTCTAGGCAGTGGGGTTTCGGGTGCGCAGGGGGGGTTGTGGAGACATCCGTTTGCTCGGCGGATAAGGCAGCCATTCTTTCCGGCAGTTGGTGCAATCATACTGTAGATATTCCGTATAAACTGAGGAGAACAATCTGTTACTTTTGCATTGAAATAAGAAGCGGCTGAGGCGAGACTTATAATTGCGTCAAAATCAGAACGCTAAACGGCTTAGTCCTAGCTCAAATAATAAGGCTATGATAGGTAGAGAGTGTCTGCGATTCTTGTACTTTCTATGCTGCCAGAGGTGTCCTATATATACACAAGCTGTTCTTTTGCAAACATCTTCCTCATCCATCAACCTCGCAGAATTCCATACCACCTTTTCGTCATGATGCCACACCGT